AAAAATATTTAAGCTGCTTTGTGCTTTGTATGATGCTTTGGTTATACTATAATCAAGTGTCATAGAGATAAACATGCTGCTTAGTAAATACAGAGCTGGATAATTTTCAATGCTTCAGTAAGATCTCAGAGTCTGTATGAATCTACCTTCCTATGAAATCTCTTCTGGACATTCTAAAGATATAATGGCTGGGAGAGAGAGAGAAATTGTATTAAGGCGATAAAGAGAAGAAATCATAGGGTTTGCCAAACATGTTCAGCTAGCTGTCATGCATGCCTACCTTACATGTTATTAAGTCGAAAAGTAGCACTTTGTCAATGTCTTCAGGAACCAAACTAAAATGGTATAACATAGATTGAAAACTCCGTAAAAATCATGGAACCACCAGAAATTGACAGGTGATTTGAAGGTGTGCCCATGCACACACACACACACAGAGTTGCTTGAATATGACAACTCAGAGAGAGAGAGAGAGAGGACATATCTATGTGGACCAATTAAACCAGTATCCCCCAGCCTCATTGCAACCTGTTTACAGACACAGAGCCAAATCCTTGATTTGAGTGAGGATTGTCTTCATGATCTGAGACCAATTCCACACAAATCCACTCTGTGTATCCCTGCTTAAAATGGATGTGTTTTACCTTGAAAATTACCTTTTGCTCTGGATTTTCCAAAGTGATGCTGGGCAGCTGTTTTCCCATGCACATGCACATGCACATGACATTGTGCCACTACTGCCACTGCATCACTCCCTCTGAGGTCACAGCAAAATACATAGCCAAGTGATCAATGCTGGATACCTCATTTCTGGCCTCAGATGAAATGATTTATGCCAACAGTGGCAGTGCCAGGCAGCACAGCAAGACACATGTGTAGACAGCTGCCCCGTGTTGCTCTGGAGTGCAGAGATAATGCAGGGTGGGAATCTGGAGTAGCTCTGGGGCCAGAATATTACAGGAGCAGCCTGGAATATTCTGTCTGGTGTAGAAGAGACAGAGAGAGGCAGGGGAGAGAGAGAGAGACAGAGAGACAGAGACAAAGAGACGGAGAAATTATTTGTGGTTAGGAAATATAGAGAAGTGAATATGGAAAAGGTGAACATGGGTCAAGCTGTTGAGAGGGAAAGATTGATAACTAAGAGGAGTGGCAGATTAGAAACAGCACATTCATGTGTACATGTTTGTATTGCTCTTTGTCTGTCATACATGAGGCATGGGTTCCATGCAGCACCTTACAGTAGCCCCTCCCAATTCACAGGGAATCCGTTCTGGACCCCTCCCCCCCACACAAATGGCAACTTACAGATATTCGAGTCCCATAGGAAATAATGGCATACACGCCTGTGCGTGCAGCCATTTTTTTTTAATAGCCCCTTGTCCCTCCCGCGAAGAGCAAGACCGTGGATTCCAAGTCTGCAAAAAGGAAGGGACAAGTGTATAGATATTTTTGTATACTCTAAACACTTCAAAACATCTCTTTTCTGGCAAATGTATTTAAATGGACATCTTCCAAGCTTCTGGGAGTGATGGTTGACCTTCCAAACAGGTTGTAAGGATTGCTTCCTTTAATAGTTAAAAACCAAGATCAAAAACCCCCAAACCCTTTGGATTTTCAAAACTAGAAGTGGATTGCCACTAGTACTTTTTGCTTGCTCCCTTGTTTGCTTGCTTGCTTGTCATTTTTGCCAATCCATGCAATTTCTGGGCCCCATCAAAACTGGTGAAGTTGTTGGCCCTGCAATGACATTTAAGAAACTCTTAGTCATATCTTCTAACATTTCACAGTTGAAAACTAAGACTTGTGTGGCCAAGCAACATCAGACTGAATCAGGATGGCAAAACATATTAACAAGGAAGAATACACAAGCTAGGAGAGCCTGCAGCAGTTTGTTTTTGCCTTAACATACTGGAAAGGGCAAGATTCTGCCTTCTTCTCTCCCCACACTGAGTTAACTGAGTGCAAATGACTTTTGGGCTTTGAATTAATTTGCAGCAATTGACACCCCCAAGGCCAAAGTGGGAAAGTGAGAGGAGGGGAGAGAAACTGAGTTGTTTTAAATGCAGCTGGAAGAGTGGGATAATAGGGGATTAATAAGTACTGTGGTGACCAAGTCACTGTAGTTTGAGGGTATGCTAAGAATGACACCATATTTAGGTATCAATCTTATAGATGGAGCTGGCAATGGAGTAGTATAGATTGAGTCTCCATTATCCAGAATACTTGGGACCAGAGATACTTTTGATTATTATTTTTTAAATATCTATATTTGCATATATGTACATAATGAAATATCTTGTAGATGGAACCCAAGCCTAAACACAAAATTAATTTATGTTTTCTTTGCATCTTATACACATAGTCTGAAGGTAATTTTATAAAACATTTTAAATAAGTTTGCACATGAAACAAAGGGGGGGCTGCAGACTGCCAGAAATAGTGCAAATTGAGTCCACTTTTACGGTTAGGGTTAGGGTTAGGGAATCATGGGGACTGTATTTTATTGTGGCACCAGAGCTCTCTGACAGAGAAGGCTCAATGTCCCAGGAAAAAAAAAAAAACAATTCCCATGATTCCCTAGCATTAACCCTAACCCTAAAAGTGGACTCAATTTGCACTATTTCTGGCAGTCTGCAACCCCCCAAAGTTTGTGTACATTGAACAATCAGAAAGCAAAGGTGTCACTATTTCAGCCACCCATGAAAAAAATGCTGGTTCCTGGAATATTTTAGATTCCAGAATAACAGATAAGGGGGACTCAACCTGTATTGCCAAGCTATTTTCCCTAATCTTCCTTGAATATTAACATTTATTTATTGTCTATCACATGCCAGTTTAGGTAGTGCATCTCACACAAAGCTTTGAGCTACCAGTGCACTTCATGCAAATGCCTGAAATTTTATCTGGGTTTTGCCTTCTTACTTGCATTTCTCAGACTCAATAAACACTTACCCCTCAGCAGAAACTGACTACTGTTTTCATCAATAGTGTAATATTCTCTGTTCCTAATGTCAGTGATCTAGCCAGAAATCAGAAAATCAGTTTGTGTCTGGACCCATCTTTATAATTACCATACACTTCAGGGGTAGGGAAATTGCATTCCCAAGGGTCCCCTTTTCAGTTCTTTTGAACAAAATTTTGATTTTTTTTCTTGGTCTGGAAAGAATGCAAGGGGCAATTTCACAATTTATTTCTCAATTTGTTGTTTGTTTTTAATGCCTGATGGAGCATCTTGAGAAACTGGAAGTGGCTTTCCCATCTAAAAATTCCACTACTACTACTACTACTACTACTACTACTACTTCTCTCTCTCTCTCTCAATACACACAGACACATAAACACATACACATACACACACATATTTCAAAAGACTTTCTTATTCCTAAAGCAGCTTGTGGGAGGGAACATAACTAAGCTGCACATTTTCCAAAGCAGGGGTAGGGAAAGCACAGATGATGGATCCCATAAGATTTGAAATTCATCATCATCATCATCATCATCATCATCTAAAAACATGTCTCATATCTCCTAAAAGCTTGTACTGATTCCAAACTCCCATTTTATGATCAAATGAGGCATTTTCCTGAGCCTGGAACAGCAAAGGAAGATCAAATAGCATGGGAAATGCCCCCAAGATTCCTATAGGGTGTAGGGAGATTTTGGTGCATTTTTAAAGATGCCATGGAAGGTGGGTGAGCCCCCTCATGTCTCAGTAACTGTGCACTCCTACCCTAGAAGGTGCAGATTTGTTGTCACATATGCAAAGTACAACATTGTTTCCTTCTATCTAACAAACCTTGACCAAGATCCTACATCTCAAGCTATGTTTCATGACTTTACAAATGTGGAGATAGGTTTCAGAAACACAGTGAATTCTTGTCAAGGAATTGTGAAGCTTTGTAGCTGGGTCTTGGCAAGAGTTCCCCAATGCACATTGGGCACTCCTATTATGCTCCAACACTTTCCAACCAATGTACATCAGGGAGTACTCTGATATGCATCAATGCCCATTGTGCATCAAGCCATGGCACATTAGTCACCACTAGCTTCCACTGCATAATGGATGGCCACACATTGTAACATCACAACAGCCCCTAGTTGAATATGAACATTGGAAAACTACTCAATTCAATTTTGTGCACTCATAAGGTCATTTATGAAGACATAAGTCTCAAGCAGAATGCTAGCCTTTGTTCTTTGGCTAGAGAGTGATGGACAGTGAAAGACAGTTGTAATGGCATTGTATGAACTTCCAGAAGTGGACAATATTCATAATGCAGTCTCTAATTCTGGGAAGACAGAGGTAAAGACCCCTAGATTGTATGTTTAATTTGAACTAGGGAGATTTACTCACATTAAAACACAGAATTCGCTGTGTTGCTGTCAGATGCACATTCCAGATGTCTGAAATTGGCAAGGATTTGTAGTATAATTGGCTAGTAGTGACTAGCCCTAGCTTTCCAATTTGGCTACTCATTTTATAGCCCAAATCAGTAAACACGAGCAATATTTGGCAGCTTATGTTTAGTTCTTCCCTGCAGAGAAAACAACCCCATGCAGCCATATAGTATTAAAAGTAATTGCACATTTCATAAACAGTTTTAGTTTATATTTTAGTGGATGCTTCAATAAAGGTGAACTCAGTGTGTACCTCTTATATCAATATATCTTGATGACTCCAGCAGAGAAGTCAATATCTGCTGAAAGGGGCATTTTTTCATATAAGTTGTAGGTGAAGAATTTAAATGTTAAAAGGTCAAACATAACGAAGGAAGAAATTGCAAGTTTTAAATCTCATCTCTTCCTTCCTTCCTTCCTTCCTTCCTTCCTTCTTTAAAAAATGAACAAAAAACAAAGCCATGTTGTTAAAATGTAGATAGATAAATAGACAGACAGACAGAGAGATGTATATTGGTACAACCATCAGATTTCACCAAGGAATAAAGCAGTATAATGTTGGCATTGATGGTGTGGTGTGGTACATGTAGGTCTCAGAGAGACTCAGCATGACATAGTGGTTTGAGTGCTGGACTGAGACTCTGGAGATTAGGGTTTGATTCCCTTTCTTGGGTATGAAACCTATTGGGTGGCCTTGGGCAAGTCACATACTCTCAGCCTCAGGGGAAGGCAATGCCAAACCTCCTCTGAACAATTCTTGCCAAGAAAATCCCATGATGGGTTTGCCATAGGGTCACCATAGATCAGAAATGACTTGAAGGCAAACAACAACAACAACAACAACAACAAATTTTATTTACAGAAGCCTCAGTTAATATTAGGCTTTCTGGTCTCATGCTTTCTGTGAAATCCACATTATATGCATGTGTCACAAGTAGATAGGCAGCAGAATTTTCCATGGAATCTACTGGTTTCAGATTTTCCCTGTTCCAACGTGGTGGCATCTTTGTGATGTCAGACTACCTTTTTTCAAAGATTCTGCTGACCCCAGAATTTGCAGAGGTACTTACATATATGTCAGCAGAAAATAACTGCATTATTTCTGACAGTGATAGATGGATGATGGTGAAGAAGAAAGTGATACTAATAAAAGACAAGAAAGATGCAGCACAATTTTCATACCTACATATATTTAAGTGGCTTCATAGTAGTACCTCTTGATAGAGAAATGAGTATTATTTCATGTATTATTTCGCAATAATGCCCAACATGCATTGGCATAAAAAAAAATTGGAAAGACCCCTCTGCAGATGAGAAAGAACCAGAGCAGCTGACCTGTTCGAACATGTGTGAGTACATGTTTAGTACATCCTAAATATGATCCTAAATGCATGCAGAAGAATAGTCTGTGGTCAAAAATAATGCCTACAAGAAAAAAACAATGATTGAAATCTGAACTAATTCATGTTTCCACATCATATCTAAAAATGGTTTTTATGCACTTGGCAGAACACTTGCTTTGCATCCAGTAGTTTCCAACTCCAATCTGCTATTAGGAGGAACAGTTAGTGTGAAAGACCTCTGTCCTGGAGAACCACTGCCAATCAGAGCAGATTCTACTGAGATTCTACTGAGCTAATTAAATAAATAGCCTCAAAAGGTTTCAACGTTTAAGAGGTAGGACATAGTAGTTTGTGAACTGCCCAGGTTGATTATTAAGGGTGGGTCCAGAAGTGCTCTCCAGATATGAATATATGAATCCCATGATGCAAATCCATGTAAATCCATGTGAATTGGCATGTGAATTCCATGAAGGGAGAAAGGTGGGAAATAAATAAACACATGAATAAATGTTGTTGGATTGGAAGTTTCAGCAGCCAAATCCAGCATAGCCAAAGGTAAGGGATGCTAGGAGTTCCAATCCATCCACATACCAGAGGCTACATGATTTCCATTCTTTAGACAGCAGAAATACCCTGTAATCCTATATTTGACAAGGCTTTGAAAATAGAACACTCATCCTGTACAAATAATTATGAATCTTAATCACATTAGAGAGGCCCCTATTTTTTTAATGCTTACCCCATTTTTTTTCCATAACATCTCTGCTTTATTTCTTGCAAAACAACAACAACAAACAAACTAGAGAGGGACAGATCAATTGAAGGAATCTTCAGATTAAGCTTGCTGTAGAGAAATTTGTATTAAAATTATTTACAGCAAGTAATAGCATGCATAATGTTTCAGTTAGATATGGGAAATCCAGAGTGTCAAGTAATTTTAAGGTTGCCACATATACTGTTCTGTGTTGGTATTGTTCTCATATAGCACCCTATAAAATTTTTATACTTTTATAATTTAAAAGATGCAACACATTTCAAGGCTTTAAAATATTATTCTTTGACATAAGCAGGAAATGCTGGGTAGTTCAAAAGTGTTCATTAGTAACTGTCCACTAAGTTTTACCTGTCCTGTTTCAGCTATTCAGAATAATCTCTTCCTAGGAAGAATAAAGTAGATAGGAAAATATTCAAACCATGTTGGGTTCTTCCTTGTGGGGACAGAGTTACAGGTAGGAAAGTGAAGAATCAAAGTACCACGTGACATAAAGAATGGATGCATATTGCTACTACTACTATTACTTTTGCTTCTTTCTATCCTGACATTTTCCCAGATCTAGACTCAAAGCACCTTACATCATTTTTTAAAAATGTTAAAAATCCACAAGATACAAAAGTTAAAGCACAATTAATCAATCAAAAATAAAATAAAGTCAGATTAAAACATACATAATTAAAACACACACACACACAGAGAGGCACAAAAATAGCAATATCTAGTGCATTGTGTAAGATGGGCCTTATATAATCACTCATCAAATGCCTGTTACTAGAGGAAAAGCCTTTGCTTGTCTGCAAAACAAATGTAGGGAGGTTGGCAGCCTAACTTCTATGACAAGGGAGTTCCAGAGTCTGTTAGCAAAGACTGAGAAGGCTGTCTCCTGTGTTTCCACCAGACATACTTGTGAGGGTGGTGGACAGAGAGAAGAGGCTCCCCAGCAGATATCAGAGAATGTGCTTGCGCGTAAGGCAAATATGGTCTTTCAAATAACCTGGACTTAAGCTGTGTCAGGCGTTAAAGGTCTTAACCATCACTTTCAATTGTGCCCAGAAATAGGCTGGCAGATAGTAGAGCTGTTGCAACAAGGGAGTTGTGTGATCCATGTAGCCAGCAACAGTTAGCAATCTGGCTGCAGCTGTTTGGACTAGTTGAGGTTTCTGAACACTCTTCAAAGGCAGCCCCACATAGAGTAATCCAACTGGGATGTAACTAATGGCCATTACAGGCTGCCAGGGTTTCGACCCACTTTGGGAAAAAAACAGCATTCTTGCTTGTATGTTTCACTCCTAA